GGTCTGGCAAGCTCCTCCCTCTGCTTCAGGCCCCAGCTCCAATGCCCCTTCCTCCAGGAAGCCTGCCCTGATTCTCCCCGGCAGACCTGGACGGTTTCCACTGGGCGCTTTTGAATGTTGGTTTAGGAGTCTGCCTCCCTGGCAGGCTGAGCCCCCCCCTTCTTCCTTTCCCGAGCTGACGGGGGACAGTACATTCTGGGTGTTCAATGATCATGTGTGGAATAAGTGAGTCAGGTGGTGACAGCCTGTCGTGGGGAGCCGTGGGCTGTGACGGGACTCAGCGGGGCCCGTGTCGATCCCATCCCACCTCTTTCCCACAGGGAGGGGTCCGTCCATCTGAAGCCGTGAGGCCCCCACACCCTGCCTCCCCAGCTCCACGCGGACCTTGGGCGGCAGGGAGAAAGTCAGCCTGGTAAGGCTCACAGAGTCACCAACCGCAGGTGCAGAGGCGGCCCCCCTCCGTGGCACACGCTTGGGTTCCCAGGCTCCCCAGTGTGACCCCGGGGCTCCTGCGGTTCAGGGCCTCCCTCCGCCCAGGGGTCCCTCCGGGTGGGGGTGCCGGAGCCCCCACACTGCTCCGTCGGCCGTCTCCATTTCTGTGCACCTGATTCTGGGTTTTCAAACTCCGGCAGTGACGGGTGCGTGCTGAGGAACGGACACCGGGTTCAGGGGCCGTGAGGACGTGCGGCAGGCAGGGGCCTTGTCAGCTGCAGCCCTGAGAGCGGATCCCCTCCGAGGGGCTGGAGGGCGGACGGCCCTTGGACGGCTGCCTGGGAGGCCCCATGAGCCGAGCCTTCCCCGAGCACTCTGTCCACTCCATGCCGCCGACTCGGGACCCCTCTGCCCCTGGCTGCCTTCCCCCGGTACCCTGCGGTCACTCACGTGCAGCTCGACCTTGGCCACAACGGGGCTTGTCCCCACCTCTCAGATTGCTTGTCCTGCCCCCTTCGCCCCGCCCCTGCCACCGAGCAGCCACACAGCCCACCTGTCTCCAAAAGCCTCGCGGTTATGGTGTCGAGGTGGGATTCCTTCCCCCCAGCCCCACCCCGTGCCCCTCCCCTGCTCCCCGCCGCTGCCATTGTCAAACCCCCCATGACCCCCCCACCTCGGCCTGCCCATCCTCGCCCCTCGTCTCACAGTGGTCCCCCCCCAAGAGCACCCAGGGTCCTCTGTCCCTCTCTTGCCTCCTCCAAGAAGCCTTCCCAGGCTGCTCCTGATTCCACACCCACTCCAGGGTGAGGGCCATCCTCCTGCTTCCTCAGATTTTTGGCCCCCAGCCGCAGGGCGATGGCCACACCACGGGCACCTGCGCTCTCCTGTCTAGAAATTGGCGCTTTGAGTCCTGGCCGCTGCTTGACTTCTGACGCGGGCTGTCACCGGCCTCGCCGGCTCCCGGGCAAATGCACCCTGGCCGCCCTGCAGCCCCCCTTCTCCAGCCGAACTCAGGCCTGTTTCCCCCAGCCCCTCGCCTCCTCCAGGACGCCCCTTCCTGGCAGCAGGATGCCTCCCAGCCCCCACGCCGTGCTCCCAGCCTCAGGAGGGGCACCCACTGAGCACGGGGCCTGGGGGCACCAAGCCCTTGGGCTGGGCAGGGACCTGCCAGTGGGGTACTTCCCGGTGCCCCGGCGCCCCCCACTTCCGCTCAGAACCACCACTGGCCCCTTGCTCTACCCTCCAGGTGGCTGCCCGCCCAGTCCCGGCACGCCCGCGGCCCCTGCCTGTGGCCTTTCTGCTCAGAGCTTTGAAGCAGAGGCCAGCCAGTGCCCAGTCCCTCCCCCCTGACCAGCCACTCTTCCCCAGACAGCCCTCGTCACCACAGAGATGGCACGTGCCGCCGGAGGCCCAGGAACGGAGGTCCCCGTTCAGATGCGGGGCCCTCGAGGGCCACGTGCCCACAGTGTGGCCTGACTGCGATCTGGAGGTGTTGAGGGTCTTTAACGAGCCCCCCCCCCCGACACATCTCAGGGCCACCCTGGCCCCTCTTCTCGTGGCAAATGGTCCAAAGGGCTTGTGGGGGTTGGGAAAGCCCTTTATGTGTCCCTACAGTGCCCCAGAGCCTGGACAGGGCTGCATCAGGGTCCCCCACCCCGCCCCGCCCTCCCCACCAATACCCTCCAGAGCTAAGAGCTGTGGGCCTTGACAGGGAGCGGGGGGCACAAGTGGGGAGACGAGCACCCCCCCCCGGCAGAAGGTTCCTCTGGCCACAGCTTTCAAACTGCCCAACAAAGCGGCCGCTGCCTGTCCTGGGGGAGGCCTCATTCTGGGGCTTTCTCTCTACACCGGGCTCCCAGCCTCCCGACGGCCTCACAGGTGGAGGCCTCAGGCCAGGGCCCACAGGCCCCCCGTTCTGAGCCCGGGACCCACCTCTCCCACGGCACTCGTGGCAGGAACCCCCCCCATTGGACCGCTTGTGGGGTCACCCCCAGTTTCCTTGGGGCCCCATCCCTTATCAGCCCCTGCTGGTGGCTATGGTGGCCTCAAGGGACCGGTTCGCATTCTACTCGCCCGCCTGCCTCTCCACCAGGGCAGCGGCGCCTTCTGGGGCCTCACCGCGAGCTCATCCGAGGGGAGGGGGCCTCTTTCTAACTCAGCGGTCTGCAGCCCTGGGATTTTCTCTGCCTGGGGAATTGGAGAGCCCCACTGGTGATCAGGGATGCCCTCGAGAGCATCCCAGAGACAGTGACGGACCTACAGCACTCTCAAGGGGACCTCTTCCAGCTGCCCCCAGGGGTGGCTGGCGGGGGCGTCTCTGGAGGAGAAAGTTCTTGAAATAAAAACTCTTAACAGGTCGAGGCTCCTGAGGGGAGTTATGCGTCACGCTGTTCTCGGGAAGGCTCAGGAGTGCACCTGCTGGTGGGGCTGGGGGGGGGCCGGGGGGGTCCCGGGCGGAGGGCGCGGCCGAGATCCCCTGTGGCAGTTGCCAGGGAGGGGACCCCTGGTCTGTCCCGGCCGGAGGCTGCTTTCAGTCACTGAGCAGCTCTGGGGGATGGTGAGGTGGGTGGGCGGGTGGGGAGAGGATCCCTTGGGGAGCACTGCTAGGGAGGGGCTCGGCTTCCCCCGGGGGCAGTGGGTGTGGCTGCACCTCTGAGTGCCCGTCAAGGGGAGGCCGTCACGGAATACGCCCGTGGGCAGGTGGGAGCAAGTCTGCACCCGTTTTATATTCTCGGGGCTTTTGGGGGCCTGGCCCCGGGCAGCACCCGGATGGTGGTGCCGGGGACACACGCCCCCGAGGGTCTTCAGGGTGCTGGTCAGAAGCAGGCAGGGGTCTCTCCAAAGACGGGCCCCTCGAGCGAGGCCTGACTGCTGCTTCCTGGCTGCGACAAGGCAGGGTGGGCACCGCCGTCTCGGGCCCGTCTGTCTGGGTCAGCGTCCAGGCTGGGGTCCCTCTCGGCCTCAGGAGCAAACCCGCGGCCACGCGCGCCCGGAAGGCCCTCAACTGCCCACGATGTCGGTTGGGGATGGAATTCTCAGGACAGGGTGGCTGTTTGGGAAACAGGGTCAGCCAGGGAAACGCGGTTTCTGGACCCACTTTCTCAGGAGACGTGTCCCCACTGAGCCCTGGGATCAGAGACTCACAGAAGGAAGGCCGCCCAGAGGTATCCACCCTGACCTGAGGCACAGCTGAGCCGCCCCGTAAATGCGCAGCTGGAGCCACACCCACAGGCCTTTCGAGATTTTTTGTTAATGTTTATTTCTTTTTGAGAGAGAGAGAGAGAGAGACAGAGAGGCAGAGCAGGAGCAGGGGAGGGGCAGAGAGAGAGGGAGACACAGAACCCGAAGCGGGCTCCAGGCTCCGAGCTGTCAGCACAGAGCCCGACATGGGGCTGGAACTCACGAACCGCGAGATGATGACCTGAGCCGAAGTCAGATGCTCAACCGACTGAGCCCCCCAGGTGCCCCCGCCACAGGCCTTTCTAGATGCCCCCCAGCACTCAGGGCACCACACTCACAATCACAGACGATTTTGACGGGGGCCTCCGGTCTGCATGACGTCCACGGGGCCTCTGCTGACCTCCAAACGGCATTGGGGAAAGCCAGACACACAGCTGCTCCTGCCCCCCGCTGCGCGGTCTCCCTGGGTCACTGGAGGAAGGCCCTTCTGGGTCACCTCGGCCTGGCTTGGCTCCCAACCCCATGAATCCATAAATGTCCTCCAAGTCTCCCCCAGGCTTTCTTGGAGAATAAACCCTTTGCCATCTGGTGGCGGCCTGTCAGGGCCTCTAGGGCTGGGTGACCTCGAGCTGTCACTGCCTCCCAGCGGCTCAGATGTCTGCAGGACGCTGCTGGTTTGTGCAGGGGCTGGGGATGGGCTGACATCCTGTCCCCTGTGAACCTCTCCCAACACCGGCCTCTCCCAGGCCTGAGCAGAGCCCCACCCTCGAGGCCGGGGCCTGACCCCTCCCTGTCTCCTCAGGGTCCCCGGACCTCAGAACACAGGTTGCAAATTGTTGCAAAGGGCGGACCTCAGAACACAGGTTGCAAATTGTTGCAAAGGGTACAGGAAACAGAATCCCCTGGAAGCCCGACACCCCGAGATGACTTTTGACTGTAAATTTGAGTCATCGAATTTTTTTATTCCCTGTGGGCTCCTAAGCATTTCCCCACGTCGTTGAACAGTCTTTAGAAACCCGACTTTTGATCACTGCCCCTCCTTCCTCTACTTTGGAACATGGCTTTTTAAATCCACGAAGCACCCTCGAGTAGGTAGATTTTTCATGCATCTCTCGTTTTCCAGAGATTAAATTCCCAGAAATGTGCACCTGTGTGCACTCTGGGGGGTCTTAGCTGAGATTCCCTCTCTTGGGGGCTGTTATCTTTCACAACCTTTTAAACAGTCTTTACTCGTGAATAACATCTTTTACACGAGATTTCGTGGATTAGCCTGAAGCTCGTCTCCGAGTTGATTCCCAGCGTCCCCGAAGCGTGTGTTTAGCAAGGAAGGCTCCCCGTTGGGACCTCATGGCCCGGGGAGGGAGGCATAAAGGGAACCCCGGGGGGGGGAATGGGTGGGGGCCAGAGCAGAGGGCCAGCAGGTTAAGGGGGCACGGAGTGGAGGGGTATGCAGGCGACAGGGAAGGCGTGCTCCGGGCAAAAGTAGCTTGTGCCAAGGTACAGGTAGGGTTCTGTGTGTGGACCCTGGGGACCAGGCAGGGAGCAGCAGTTGACAGGGTCCTGGGGGCCTGGGGTGGTTCCTTCCTTTGAGAGCAGTGGGTAACTCGGAGGGTGGGTCACTGCACCTGGTGGTGGTGGCGGGAGAGGAAGGGCCCTGCAGGTGGGGGGCCATCCCTGTTGGGGGAGATCAGCGAGCAGCGGGGGAGCCCACGCTCTCCCCTCCCCCAGCTGCTTTCCTACCTAGCTGACTTCTGCCGTCTCTGGCCAAATCACCCTCTTTGGGATTTGATTACTTCGGGGCCCCTGAACATTACTTCCTGGGGTCCGCTGTCCCCTTCATGGACTTTGGGGTCTCACCTCACCCACTCCAGGAAGCCTCCCAGGCCTGCTCCCACTGTCACTGCCAACAACCTGGCCCCCACCCCAGGCTGGGAATGGGTGACAGTGGCCCTTGTCTCACCCATGGAAAGGGCTTTGGGGACCAGTTCAACCTGGGGTTCAACCTCCAGGAAGAACTCTCTCCCCCAAACACCAACATCCTCCCGGCCAGAACCCATAGCCAGAGTGCAGGTCACAAGGGCCTTGGAGGAGGTGAGCGCCTGTGCATGGGGTGTTGAGGGCGCCCTCAGGAGTGTATCACCAAGAGTCAGGCGGGAGCAAACGCGGGGACTGCTGGGGTCAGGAAGGAGTCTCGGGGACCCTAGATGAGGGAGCAGCCAGCTCAGACCAGGGTGGGGAGGGAGGGGGCTGACGCGGGCCCCGAAGCGACAGGGTGCTGAGGGTCTGGGCGAACAGGAGGGTCAGATGTTGGGATCTGGGGTGCCGGCTGCAGGTGGCCCCGGGACGGAGGGCAGGGCTGGGCTGTGGCTGTCGGTTGTCACCTACTCCGGACATCTGTCGAGTGAGGGAAGGAGGAGTGAGGGTACTCGGGAGGTACAGGAGGCTCCCCCGAGAGCCGACTGGCACCCCTGTTCCCTGGCGCTGTGCCGGTGGGTGTGAGAGCCCAGACGGACGGGGCCCCTGCCCCTGCTTGGGGAGAGGCTTTCTCTGGCTCACCCTCAGGAACACCTGCCAGAGGGCATGGACTCACGGGTTCACCTGCCTTCCCGTATTCCTGTACACACTGGGGACTTGGGGTGCAGACACCGCTGCCTCTGGTGGGGAGGGACCCGGAGCGGGGCTCCAGCTCTCCGGGAGACTGGAGCAGAGGCCGGGAAGGGAGACTTGGGCTCAGGAGATGCGCGAGGCTCCTTTTGGGGCCCAGGGAGAGAGGGGGCAGTGGGTGGAGGAGAGGACAGTTTTGGGGAGTCACCAGGAGTTAAGGTGGAGGTGGGAGGGATCAAAGGGACGCCAGAGCCCTAGTGTGGCTGATGGTCTTGGAGGCGCTCTCTCCCGGAGGAGGAGCCCCCCGGGCCAGGGTCCTTGCCGGGGGAGAGCACCTCCCGGGGGCCCAGCCCAGAGAGGGATGGCCCAGGGCCCAGGCTGGCAGCGAGGTCCCCTGGAGGCTTCTAAGAAATGCACATTCTGGCCTGTCCCAGGCCCTCTGAACCAGAAGGTGCCCTGGAAGCGGGCCCCTCGCCATCCCCTCATGCCGGGGAGCCTGGTGGAAGGGTGGGCGGGTGTGGACGGCCCAGGGAGACGTGACGGCAGAGGAGGGCCCCGGGCTGCCGTGGGGCTGCAAGGCCGGTCAGAGCACATGACTCCTCCACGCAGGCCCAGGTCAGAGGGGGTGGTGGGTGCCTAGGCTCTGGTCCCCCTGCATCCTGGGAAAGCTCCGGTGAAGCTCCTTTGACCCTCCACGATGCCCCTGGGCTGTGGGTGTCTGGACAGTGGGAGGCCCGATTCGGGATGTGGAACCCGAGCCTCTGGGAAGGGGAGCCTGGGGCTGGTGAGGACCCGATGGCCTTGAATGGCAGCTAATCCTTCCTCCTTCCCTAGGTCCCCAGAGCTCACGGAGCTGCATGACTGAGGGGGCCCTGGTAGGTTGGGTGGTGACTGACTGGGGCAGGGTCCTGATAAGGTTGGGGTGACTGGGGTGGGGCCCTGGTATGGTTGGGGCAACTGAGGCGGGGGCCCCAGTGTGGTGTGGCCTCTCTTCGGCAAGTCTGACTGGCCCTGCCCTCTGTCCCCGCCCCAGAACCTGCTCTCCAGGGAGGTGACGCTGTCCATGGTGGCCACACCCAGTGAGGGTTTCTCCTGTCCCCACCGGAGGTCCAACTGCCTGTCGCCCACAGGGGAGCAGAAGCTGGATATTGGTGAGGAGATGGGCTGGGGGCTGTGGGGATCGGGGGCCCAGTGGGCGGTCTCTGGACAACACTGTCCTGGTCCCCTCCAGGCTCGGAGCACGTCCCTTCCCCCGGCCGTTTGTTTCAGGTCACTTGGCTTCCATTTGCCAAGTGTCCGCTCTGTGCAGGGTGTGGGTGCAGAGCCAAGGGCGGCACGGAGGGTGCCGTGGTCTTGCGTCTGCCGGGTGCTGAGGGCCGCCTCCATGCACACCTGACAGAAACTTCTGGAAGGGCTTTGTCTCTGGAGTCTGACAAAGCAGGTGAGGCTTGCTCTGGAAGCCTTGCTCTCCCTGCCGGCCTGCAGCACCACGGAGGATCGCAGCCACCCAGGCCACCCCCAAGAAGAGACCAGGGTCCACAGCTGCTCGGGGGCAGGTCCGGGGGGGAAGGGCACTGCCTCTGTGCCACCGGCTTCCTGTGGCCCTGATAGGGAGGGGCAGGGTGGTCCCCCACCTGCTCTGGGGGCACAGGCCCCTCGAGAGTGCTGTAAACATGAGCATTTGTTGTTTATTTGCGGTTCTAGTGCCGGGCAAGTAATAGATTCCCAACAAGTTTTCATTGAATGAATGAATGAATGAATGAAACAGCAGATGGACCCAGATGGCAGCGGGTCAGCACCTCGAGTGAGGCCACCTCACAAGCCGCCTTAAGCCTGGGCCCGGCGCTGGCTTCGAGCGGTGGCCCTGGCTGTGGGTGTCAGCCAGGGCTGGGGGGGTCCTGAAGCGGGGTGTGCGTGGGCCCATCAGCAGCCCCGAGACCGTGGGGCACCGGGCGATGCTGGCTCCTGGCCCGCGGTAGGGACCGGCAGCGCGGGACCCACCCTGCGGCTGACCCCAGGCCTGACTTTGTTTCCATTCCCAGGGGGGGCGCTGGCCTCGCACCCCCCACCCCCGCTTTCTCCTGATCAAAGCAGCACTGATCACCTCTGTAAACCGTGTTAGAGGATTTGGTTCTCAGAAGGCTCCCAGGCTGTGCCTCGTGAGCCGGGAAGCTGGTTGTCCGAGTGGCTCGGAACACGGATTTGATGTACGCTCAAGAAAGGAGTACTGTCAGCTTTCAAAGAGGACGGGTCCCTGCGTCCACCCCCAGTGCTGGGACGGCCTCTCCACCCCTCGCTCCTCCGCACCTGTGCCTCGACAACCTGACGGGAAAAGTCCTATCTCCTTGTGGTTTTTATTTGCGTTCCTTGTATCGCTGCTGAACGGCCTTCTCGTCTCTTTACTGGTCACCAGGGTCTCTTCTGGGCGCCTCTCCACCCCTTCCCTGCGGTGGCTCAACGCTCTCCTGACCTAGAATGGTCTGGAGCATCGATACTGGCCTTCTGTCGTAAACGTCCCTTGTAGACGCCTCCTCAGTTTACCGTTCCGTGGGCTGTAACGATGCTTGGGCCCTAAGCCGACGTCGCGGACTCTAAAAGCGTTTTCCCTTTGCCTCCCCTTTGCGTATTCAGAACCTCTACTCTGGGGTTTCCGGATAACAAAGCCACGTCTGCTCGGCATGTTCACAGCTGCCATTCGGAAATTCAGGCTTCGTAACTGCCTGCTATTTATTTTGGTGTGAGAAGTAGGGCAGGGACGTAGGTTACTTTTTTCACTCCAAACGATAAGCGACTCCTTTGGGACCGCGTTCTCCTGGGCTGGCGTTTTGTGCGTTCCCGTCACGAGGCGTGTTCTCTTCGCCTGGCTGGCTGGGCTCTGCGGGGGGCTGTGCCCTGGCACCCGGGGCGGCGCCTGCCCTCTGTGTTTTGCCTCCTGGCTGCGCTCACACCGGTTTCCCTGCAGACACGTTGTAAAGAAAGTCCTGTGGGCCCTGTGACCTAAGGGCCCGGCCGGAGCCAGAACTGGGGGGGTCTAGGCTTCCGTCTGGCACCCCTGGCACCAGACTGCTTTTCTGTCCTCTGCAGAGCACCTAGGCAGGGCGAGCACGAGCAAGCCCCCCAATGACGGACCCCTCTGGGAGGAAGCGCTCATCGGCAAAATCAGGACCATGTCGGCCTTGCAGAAGAGCCAGGCGTTGGAGGCTGTCCAGTGCCACATCCGGGAGCACACCCAGGTGGGACCCCAGGAGCCCTGCTCGTCCGTGCGGGACGCTACCTTCTGCCACTCCAGGGCTCACAGGGGGTGAGCCCCAAGGCCCGCACTGCCGCTTGGCTCCCGCTGGCCTCGGCAGCCCCAGAAGCCCCTGACCTTCAGGGACGTGTGGCAGAAGGTGCCGGGATGTAGGAAGGTGTTGGACCACAAGCAGAGGGGCAGGTGGGGCACAGAGGCCCTGCCAGCTGGTGCTCAGACGTTGTCACTGGGGCCTGGTGGCAGGTACGGGCCAGGGAGCCACGTGGAGCCAGCCAGCCTGCCCCCCGCTCTAGGCCCCGGGGACTGGAGAGGACAGGGTGGTGTGTCTGATCCACCTCTGTGCCTGGGGACCTCCCAACCTGTGGGCCGCAGGAGGCTCCCCAGCTCAGGACTCCTGCCATCGTGGGGGGCCAGGCCCTGCTTTTCCCTGACGCCCCACACACTCTGGCCTGTTCAGCGTGAAGGCCTGAGCCACCACCGGCGGTGGCTGAGCTCCCAGGTCGGGCGGGGGGCCCCCCCCCCCGGCCCCTGTCCTCCACCTTCCTGCTGCAGAGTCTTCAGGAGTTCAGGGCCGACAGACAGAATCGAGTACGAGGGACAGCAGCACGGACGTGTGCCTAGAGGGAGACTGGCTCTAAGCACACACACAGCTTGGCTTCGGGCCCCTGGAACCTGGCTGATGGCCAGGTTCCTGCTCTGCTTCAGAGCAGGGGAGGGAGGGACATCCGGCCAGTGGGAAGAGCCCGTGCAAAGGCCCTGAGGTCAGCAAGATGGCAGAATGAGAGGGCTGGGGGACACTGGCAGGGCCAGAGTGTCACGGGCTCCCCAGCCAGCTTAAGGGGTGCAGGGGTATCCCACAGGTGGGGGGCTGCCAGGGACCAAGCAGAGGTGGGCACAGCCCTCTGGCAAATATCTCCTTACCCTTTGGGGGGTGGTTTGTCTTCTCTGCTCACCCACAGGTGCCCACCCCGAGTTTTCATCCCTGGGGCTTCCCAGCGGATGCGGGGGTCCTGCTTTCCCCGGAGGGTCGGGTGGGGCCTGAACGCTGTGTTCCGCCCACAGCTCATCAGGAAAGAGGTGCCCAACGCTGGCCTCCAGGAGCTCCTGGCGGCCTTGAACCTAGAACTCAAGCAGCCTTTGGAGAAGGTCAGTGCCTGGGGTGGGGCTTCCCGGGGTCTCCTACGTGTGCTCAGAGCCCCCGGGGAGGCTGTGACTGCAGAGAGCCCGCGGCCGCTCAGGCCCCTTCCCAGCTTCCCAAGTGATTGTCGCCATCTGAAGCTCTGCGCACACGGATGATGCCGGGAAGGTGCGAGGGGTGCTGTTGCAAGGGGACAGCGGCCTCGGGGCCACTTCGTGTTCGCTGAGCCCTGGCTCCCAGCCGGCCAGGCCCTCTTCCGGGCCCCAGGGACGCGGCGGAGGCAAGGGCGGCAGGCTTTCGCTCTAGTGAGGGAGCCGCGCTCGACAGTGGGGTCACCGGTGACAATCAGGAGTGCACTCTGTTCAAGTTGTGTTGCCCGATGTAGAAACTACACATTTTCATCAGGAGAAAGATAAAGGGGAATTCTGGAAGACCCTGAACGCAGCCTCCTGCACCCGCACGAAATGAGGCTGGGGGGCAGGGGGGCGCAGCTCTGCCCGGGACACCGGAGGTGGGCGGGAGGAGAGGTCCGCTGTGACCGGTCGGCCCTGCACAGGACGGCGCTCAGGCTCGGCTGGGGTGTGCCCGGGGCGGGGTGGGCGGGGGGTGGGAACCGCGGGAGCCTCCGGGGAAACCGAGGCACCGCAGCCGACACGGCGTCTGGGTACCGCCCTGAGGACCCACGAAACTTGGCGCTTCAAGGCGGGCGGGGAGGGGGTGCTGCGGTGGCCCCCGCGCCTCCTGCGGCCTCAAGCAGACAGTGGGCGCAGCAGCCTGAGGCAGGAGCCGCGCAGCTCGGGAAGGTGCTCAGGACAAGCTCCGCGAATTCATTCGCCCCTCGCCCTGCGGTGGTGGCGCCCCTGCCCCCGTGCCCCGTCCCACGCCCGCCCCCTCCTCCCTCCTCCCTCCCCCCAGACCTTCCTCTTCCACTTTTACGGGCTGATCCTCCGAGAGTGCGCCTGTGTGGACCTGGTGAGGAGGCACCCGGCCAGCCTCCTGGAGCTGTCCCACCAGTCATCCGGCCAGCGGGAGGTGGGTGGCAGCCCTCGGCACCCCCGCCCCTCCGCCCCGCCCCCCGCGCGGACGTCGCTGCTTGACGGCAGATGGACACCCCACCCTTCACGCCACGACCTGGTGCGGCTCCTGCGGCCCCCGGCGCTGTGCCGAGCGACAAGGGGCTGCGGTGCGGGTGCCGCCTGGAGGTGACCTCGGGCACCTGTCCACGGCCGAGTCCTGGTTCCATCCCGCCCCGGTGGCCCCAGTGGGACACACGCCCTTCAGGGCAGGGGTGGGGCTCGCCCACCTTCCTTTGCGGGGGGGCCCCCGGGAGGGTGGGGAGGAGAGGGCAGGCCGCGTCCAGCACTGCCGCGTGGGGACGAGCTCACGGCGTCTCTGGCCCACAGGGCATTGCCGTGGCCATCGGCATTGTGTCCTCCAGGCACATGCAGGAGGTGTGGGCCACGCTGGAGCACGTGGGCCGCACCAGGTTCCTGAGGACTGTCTTCACGTCCCCAGACAGCCAGGTAGAGAGGGCAGCGCGGGGGCGGCAGGGGCCAGAGGCCCGGATCGGTGCTGGCTTGCTCGTTGGAAACGTGGGGGTGACCCCTGCCCTGCCCACCTTCCTGAGGGGCTGGTGTGTGGGTGTCAGACCTCCCTTCTTGCTGCGGCCCGGGAGTTTGGAGCCTTGTCCTTGGGGCCCCACAAGGGATCCAGAGCCTCCGCTGGGTCTGACGGTCGGGAGCCGTGTGGGCTTGCCTTGATTTTCAGGTGGGGCGTGTGGCCCGGGTCCTGTGTGTCCACCTATGCTCCCGCCCTGGGGGTTTACGTGGAGCATCTGTGCTTTGCTAGTCCTGGGCACCCCGATGGGAAGAGACATGAGTGACAGAGACCCCCGGACGAGAAACAGTACCTCCAGCCAGAGGGCGGGGAGCCCGGGGCCCGGGGCCGCGGTCCTGAGGCGCACGCGGGGAGGGCCCCCCCGCGGAGGGCGGCAGGTAGAGAGCCGATTCCCCAGTGGCCACCACTCTGTCCGCAGCAGCCGGAGCCAGACACGCACTGGAGATGGGCTGGCAGCACCTCCCTGCTCTGCTACGGGCAGATGGCCGCGCACGCCGGGGCGCAGATCCTGCCCTGGGTGGACAACATCGTGTCCAGGATGGTGTACTACTTCTCCTGCAGCCGCTATGTGAGCGCGGCCACGGCCGGGGCGGCGGGGGGTGTGGGGGCCGCGTCTTCTGACTGGGGCCGGCCCACTGACCCTCCCCGGACTCCACACGGACAGGACAACATCCTCAAGACCAGCTTCCTTTCGGCCACCATCAGGCTTTTGAAGGCTCTCAGGCAGAACAGCACCCCGAGCTACAAATTCTCTCAGATCCCAGAGCTCATCCAGTGCCTCCTGGTGAGCGATGCCTGCGGGGGTCCCGGGGGCTCCCAGGGCCGCCAGCGGGACCAGGAGGCTGAAACGACCAGCCACTCTGACTCCCCCGGCCGCCCCCCCCCCCCCCCGTGCATCCTTCAGAAGGAGCCCAACTTCCTGACCACCCTCTTCCGGGAGAAGATCATATTGGTCATTGTGGGACTGAGGTAACTCTCCTTGGGGTCCAGAACGAAGACAGGCCAAGTCATTGCGTGGGGGTGGGGGTCCACATGTGAGGAGACGGGATGTGAATAAGGGACCAGGAACACGGGGCTGGCCCTGCTGAGGCCGCGCTCCGCCAGCCTCGTCTCCTATCCAAGACAGGTCGTTAATGTTGACACAGACCAATCCCCAACCTGGTCACACACCAAATCCAGGCCTCAGTCACAACCTGAGCCTGACCCTGGGCCACACGCTGAACCTCGACCTTGACCCCGGTCACATTCTGGGCCCTGATCATGATGACACCCACTCGTAAATCTTAAGTTGTGTAGGCCTCTCCCCGCTGGGAATCCATTTCAGCCTGGTGTCTCACTCCTGAACCGTGGGCTCTTGTGAAAACGTCCAGAATCTTCCCCGTGTTTCTTCCAGCAACCTGCGGCCCGGTCTCAAACCCATGGTCAAGTCCCAGATCCTGCAGACCTGCCTGCAGAGCCTGTACAGGCTCCCACCCACGGAGACGCTCAGGAGCAGTTTACCTCCATTGGACGTGGCCCCAGACGTCACGGTGACTGCCTGTTCCCGTCTCTGGGTGCTGGGTTCCGGGTGCCAGGCCGGCCTGCCAAGCCCCAGCCGCGTGTGTGAGCGAGGGGAGCACCGGAGAGAGCTCGCCCGGCCTGGGTTTCTTCCCGGCTTCGCCACAGGCTGGTCTTGACCTTGGAGCCCGAGTCTTGAGTTCTGCCCTCAAGTGGGGCTCTGGTCTCCATGCCGCCCCCTGAGGTGCTGTGATTCAGATGGGACAAGGAAGTGACAGCACTCCGCAGATGTGTGCCGCTTCTGGCCACCTATTCAGCAGCTTCTGCTGCCCAAACAGAGCTAGCGTTTCTTCCTCGGGTGGGGCAGACAGAGCAGCTCGGATCCCCACCACAGGCAGGCCCAGCGTGGGGTCTTCTCCCAAGACCCTGCTCCCTACCTGGAACCCCCCGGTGGGTGGGGACACACACATGCACCCACATGCCACCAGCCAAGCTCCTGGGAATCCCCGGTCAGCAAGAAACAGCAGGCCGGCGTGGAGACGAGCCACGGCAGGGACCTGAGCTGTGGCCAGGCTGGGCTCCCAGGGAGCAGACTGTGGGCCCAGAGTTGGGGGTACACTCTCAGGAGAGGCCCGGTGGGGAGCTGAGAGGATGGGGTGGGGTCACAGGAGAAGCATATCCTGGTGTGGCTCAGGGAGGGCTCAGCCGATCCCCTGGGAAGCTCTGGTACCAAGGGAGCTCTATCGTGACATCGGCCGGCCCATCGCTGGCCCGTGGACAGCCCGCTTCGGGGGAGCGTGAGCTTGGAGGTCAAGTCCTGAGCGTCCAGCAGCCGGGAGTGGGTGCCTGGCCCCCGAGTCTAACATCTAATTGGAGCCCTGTCCCAGGAGGGACGGGCCAGGGCACCAGAGGGGAGGCCATGGGTCGTGACATGTGACATGGGCAGGAGCTGGGTCTGGGTGACAGATTTAACAACCGAAGTGTCACTGCCACGCAAAACATGGCACTTTCCCAAGTGTATGGTTCTACACGTTTTGACCTGGATTTGTGAAACTATCCTCAAAGCCAAGATGAACACGTTTATCACCCCCAGAGCCTCCGTGTGCCACCAGGGGACTCCTCCTTGCTATTGTCATCATAGTTGGTATCTCGTAGAATTTCATGCAAGTGGGATTATGGGGGTTCTGCTAAGCTTTGCCTGGACGCTTCCCGATCAGACGACCTGGAGATTCGTCTACACTGCAGCCTGTACGGATGGCTCATTCCTGGTTCCTGTGGCATGGTATCTGACTTTTCGGATGCCCACCGGGTGTTGATGTGCTCGCCGCATGAGGGGCACTGTGTTATCTCCAGCCTTGCACTGCTAATCAGGCTGCTGTGCACATTTGTGTGCGGGTCTCTGTACAGACCTGGATTCTGTTTTTTGGGTAAACACCCAGGACCGGACGTCTGGGCCATAAGGCAGGTGTGCATCTAACTTGCCAAACTGCCTTCTAACCGGCTGTGCTGATTTGACTGCCAGCAGCAGGGAAGAGAGCCCTGCTCCTCCCACATCCTTGTCAACACACGGTGTAGTCGGTCGTAAGCGCTGGCCATTCTCCTAGGTGTGCAGCGGTGAGTGGTGGTTTCAGTGTTCATGTCTCTACTGAGAGGAGCATCCCCTCGTGTGCTTTTGACCATCTTTGTATCTTTTTTTGGTGAGCTGTCTGTTCAAATCTTATGCCTCATTAAAAAAATTTTTTTAATGTTTATTTTTGAGAGAGAGAGCACGAGTGGGTGGGAGCAGAGAGAGAAGGAGACACAGAATCCCAAGTAGGCTCCGAGCTGTCAGCACAGAGCCCGACGCGGGGCTCAAACCCACGGACGCAGGATCATGACCTGAGCCAAAGTCGGACGCTTAACCGACTGAGCCACCCGGGTGCCCCTCTCATGTTCAATTTTTAAGTTGCATTATTTATTAGTTTCTAGAGTCCCTTTTAGAGTTGCTATGGGGGTCCTTTATCACCCAGGTGGTCTGAACATATTTTCTCCCGGTCTCCAGGCTTTCTTTTTATCTTAATGGTCTTTTCTGAAGAGCCGAAGCTCTCGATTTTGAGGTTGTTCAATGTATCTGTTCTTTCCTTCGTGGGTTGTGATTTTGCTGTTGTATCCAGGAATTCTTTCCTTAAGCCAAGGTCGCAAGGATTCTTCTCTGCTTTCTTCTGGAAGTTTTATGGTCTTAGGTTTCACACTGAGGTCCGCGACAGCTTCTGAGCCAACTCTTATCTGCTGTAAGGAACGGCCTGAAGCTTAGCTCGTTGCGCATATACGGACACCTTGGTTGTTCAGGACCCATCCGGGTCCCAAGTTTGCCTTTGTCGAAAGCCAGCTGCCCACGTGTCTGTTTCCGTTTCTGCCTGTTTATTCTGTTCTGAGCCGTGTCTGCCGATGCCACATGGTGTTGGTCCTGGTAGCTCCACAGGAAGGGGTGAAGGCCCCCAACTTGGGTCATCTTCTTCAAAGCTGTTTTCTGCTCTCCCGGCTTCTGTGCACCTCTGCGCGAGTCACAGAATGAGGGGCTCAACCTCGAGTGAACGGCACCCTGGGGTTTCGATTGGCGTTGCACCCAATCTACAGACCGACTTGGGGAAGACCGACACGTTAACACCGGTTTGTGTTGCGAGCTGAGCGCTGGCGCACCTCTCCGTTTAATTAGGTCGTCTCCAAACCCCCCAGCAGCGTTGGCCGGTTTTCCATGTGCTCGCCTCGGACGTCTTTTGTCAGAGTCTTTCCTCTCTCTGTTTTCTTCTGATATTGCCAATGATATTTAAATGTTTAGCTTTCAGGGGCGCCTGGGTGGCGCAGTCGGTTAAGGGTCCGACTTCAGCCAGGTCACGATCTCGCGGTCCAGGAGTTCGAGCCCCGCGTCAGGCTCTGGGCTGATGGCTCGGAGCCTGGAGCCTGTTTCCGATTCTGTGTCTCCCTCTCTCTCTGCCCCCCACCCCCCCCATTCATGCTCTGTATCTCTCTGTCCCAAAAATAAATAAATGTTGAAAAAAATTTTAATAAAAAAAAATAAATAAATGTTTAGCTTTCAGTTGCTCGTTGCTGGTTTATAGGAGCACAATCGACTTTTTTCGTATGTTGACTTTGTTCCCGAAACCCTGCTAAACCACGTGTTAGCTTTTCAGAGCCTTCTGTAGATTCCACAGGGTTTTATCCGTGACGTGTGTGAACAGTCTCCTTTCTTGTCAACGGGGACGGTGCTGTGCTGTCGCCCTCCTACCCCACCGCCCTTGCCAGGACCCGCCAGTGGTGGGAACAGACACCGCGTCGTTCCTGATGTGATCAGGAACGCATCTGTCTTCGCCATCGAGTCTGCTGTTGCCGTGGCTTGCTGTGGGTTCTCTGATGCTCTTAGTTAGGTGGAGAAGGTTCTCTGCTAGTCCTGCTTTTCGGACAGTGCTCATCAGGATGGACGTTGGCCTTTGCCCACTGCTTTTGCTGGGTCTATGCAGATGATCAATTTTGATATGCTGCTCTCATTTTCACTGAGTTCAACGTACTTCCTGGTTTCGGCTTAGTGCTGGGGGGATATGCCCAGGGGTGCCGTCTGAGGAGCCCTGGGCTGGGCAGCGTGCCCACAGCAGCATCGGGAGCTCACTGAACTCTGCCCCCGTTCTGGGAAATTAGGAAATTAGGGGCAGATTCAACACCCTCAGCGGTTAGGACCTGAGGCCCGGCAGCCAGGAGGGCACTGTGTGTCCCCACCAGGGACTGAGTGGGGACCGGGCCTGGAGTGGACATTATGATCATTTCTGCAGGCCCCGCAGGGAAGGGTGACTGAGCCCTCACGGGGGCGAGTCCCAGGGCACCAGGGGAGCGATGGGCGAGGGTGTCGGCCAGGGAGGGCCACGGTGCTGGCGGGTCCCCCCCCCCCCCGGGGAGTGACACCAGGCCACCGGCCCTGCCAGGTGCTGTACCGGAAGTCGATGCAGGCACTGGACCTGCTGCTGAAGAGCCTCATCTCCGAGAACAAGAGTGTGGACGAGCTATGCTTCATCCTGCAGGTGAGGCTTGGGCTGGCGGGGGGCACACGACTGGGGCTCCGCCCGCCCGGGGTGTGTCCCTCGGACACAAAGGCGGCCAGGTTGGCGGGTGTGCCCCACGCCGCTGACCCGGGGGCTCTCGTCAAGGCAGGGGTGGGCGTTTCAGAAGAGCCGAGGGCCCTGCGAGGAGAAGGTGACCCTGGCTCATCTCCGGGCACTGCCGTGGGCAGGGAGGAAGTCCCGGGGATGGTCTGCGGGCTCCCGCACAGCCATGCAGACGTAGGCCCTCAAACGCCCTGGCTTCCCTCTGGGCCCAGACCCGGCCTCGCCCCGGGGAGCTGAGCCGTTGGCCGGGCACGGACGGGCGAGCCATCTGGTGGGTACACCCGGCTGCGGCCGGCCCGCCATCGCTCCGCGTCCCAGCGGCCACGTCCGGGAGGGGAGGGTGGGTCTGTGCGCCGAGCCGGCCTCGGGCTCTCCTCTCCCATCGCAGCACATGGAGCCGTGGCTGAAGTCAGACAGCAGCGACGAGCGCCAGCGGGCGGTGCAGACCATCTTCCTGTTCCTCAAGTACGTGGTGGACTACGTGGGGCTCACTGTGAGTCGCCTCGCCCGGCACCCTCGGGAGGTCAGCCAGGAAGGTGGGCCTGAGCCCAGAGAGGGGCCGGGAGCCCCCATGGCGCGGCTGCCTCCGTGCTGGGCCCCCGGGCCCTCGCTCCTGATTCTCGCAGCCGTATTCACGGAGCATCTCGGCTGCTAGGCACGGGACTGGGGGGCGAGACGCAGGCCCTGGGGTGCCCCCAGTCCCGGGGCAGGGGTCAGAGTTCAAAGAGGGCGGTGGGGGGAGCTCGATGGCCAGGCTGCCTCAGAACAAAGACTTGAAGGAAGCGGGGAAGGGAGACCGGGTGGGGGGGGGAGGAGGTCCCGCCGTGGGACGAGGGCCTGGGGGCGCCCTGCCCACGAGACACCTGGCAGCCGGGCCTGGCCTCGCTCACTGCCCGCCCCTCCCAGGAGGAGGCCACCCCCTCCATGCTGGGCCACCAGATAGGCCTGCTCATGCTGCTGTGGAGGGACAAGGAGCCCGTCACCCAGAGCCACGCCCACCAGTGCGTGTACCTCCTCCTGCAGCTGTTGACCCAGCAGAAGGGTGAGCTGGGAGCCCCCCACCTCCGGGGCGCTGGACGCTTGGCCGCCCCAGGCCCCCTGACTCGGTGCCCCTCGCCAGGCAGCACGTCAGAGTTCACGTATTTGAATAAAATGAAGAACTTTGAAGCAAATGCCAGGAGGGAATCAGAAATGAAGTTTTACGACCTGGTGAAGGTGGGGCCCGAGCTGCACGCAGCCCCAAGCTGTCCAGGAGTGGGGGCCTCTCCGGCCTCCACCTCCCTGCCCATTCTGCAACCTGCGCAGGGGAGCTGGGGGGCGGGTCAGGCGTAGCCGGGACGTGGACGCCTTCTTGCAGGGAGAGCACCCCATCGCTCTGCCCCTTGAAATCTCGGCCTGCACCCTCCCGCCCGTGACTTGGAGGTGCGGCAGGGCCCCTCTGGAGCCCGGTCCTGAGGTTCTTGCTGACCTCTCCCTTCTCGGCCCCCACTCCTCTTGCGGCCTCACCCCTGGGGCCCCTCACTAGGGCGACAGCTGGGTTTGCCTGAGGCTGTCCCGTGCTCACTACTCGTGCACAGTCCCGGGCAAGCAGCATGCTGTCTGTCTCCCTTGTCCATCGCCTCTGCCCTCCCTCCCTGTGTGTGTCCTTCCCGGGCCGGCCCTCCCCTCAAGACGGACGGGGCATCAAAGCTTTGGGTTTGAGTCCAAGCTCCGCCTCCAACTGCGGGGCGGTCATTCAACCCTTCCATGCCTCAGTTTCCCCACCTTCCAAGTGAGAGTCCCTGAGTCTGACCCCCTGCCTGCTCTCAGGACAGGCTGGGACAGGAGCAGCAAGCCCTCAACGCCTCCGTGTAGAGGGTCGTCCCCTGGGAGCCCCTCCTAGGGAGCCGGCTGCTTAGAAGCCTGTGGTCCTGGTGGGTTCCCTAGAAACAGAGCCTGGGACAGGAATTTCAGTGCAGTTTAGGGGACAGAGACTCACGCTCAGGAGGAAGGAGTAAGGGAAGCAAGCTGGGGATGGGAGCAGCCAAGAGGAGGGTGGTCTGTCTGACCCAGGGGAGTGTGGCTGCTTAAAGCGTCCCCCACCTCGAGGCAGGGGCTGGACCCTGTACCCCGAGTCAGTGACTGGCTGCGGGCTGCAGGGTGGGAGGGGGCACCTGACTGCCTGGACACGACTGCTTGCTCCCACCATCCCCAGAGTGATCCTTCAGCCCTCGGTGGCCACACCTCCCACCACTGAGGCAGGAGGGGCGGGGCCCCAGCAGCCTGGTGCGGGGGAGGGGACAAGTCTGCTCGCCTGGCATTTTTTCCACCTCTGAGTACGAGGAGCGCCCCCACCCCGGCCCTGTCTCCAACCCCGACGCAGGAGGGGCTGGAGGGCTGAGGACCACCAGGGAGGGTGCCGCCTCGGCCTCTCACCGCAGCCCCCCCGGCCCAGGTGCTGGATGGGAACCTGACTGTGGCCCAGCACACGCAGCTCGTCCTCACTCTCCTGCGAGGGCTCTGCAGCCACAACCACCTGCGCTGTGACCTGGCCTCACAGTTGCTCCTGATGATCGTCGAGGACCACAGCATCAAGGCAGAGCAGGTGGGCGCTGAGCCCAGGCTGCGGGCCACCTTCTGCAGACCTCCCCACGGGAGTCGGGGGACCCGCTAAGGAAGGACTGGGGTGGGGGAGGCGGGCTGGCCCCGCGTCAAGGGCTACCCGCGTGCACGCGGACGCACCCGTGTCTGTGCACACACGTCTTCACAGAGAGCGCCCGGGCCTGGAGGCCGTGGGTCCCGAGCTCAGTCCTAGCCATCCGCAGTCCACGGCCCGCCTCCCGCTCCTTGAAATAGCACAGCCCTGTTAGCAGGGCTGAGACCCAGCGATGCCCCAGGGCCCCGGTTCACCCCTCCCGGCCGGTCAGGACCCTCAAGGTCCCAGGGCCCTGACAGCAACACCCTGCCTTGTTCATTCAACCTTACTCAGGAGAGAAACATTCCCTGCCCCCACCCCCTCCCCCACCTCCCTGGGGATTTAACTGCCTTTCTTGGGGCGAGGGGGCGTGGCCAACCTAGTTCACAGCCCACACAGACAGGACCGTCTCTCAGGGGCTGCCAGGCCCATCAACCCTCCTGGCTGCTCGGAGTTGATCCTCACTTTTTCACAGGCACACAGGGAGATGCGGTGAGGCCGCGGGGACGGCGGGGCCACACCAGCCGTGAGCCACGGTGCCGCTTCCACCGCTGACCCCACCGGGTCCTGTACGTGTCCAGATGGCTCATCGTGGGGCAGGGATCACGTAGCGGTCAGGCTACTGGCTGAAGGCTGACGAGGCCATCAGGATGCCTCACGGGGGAGGCAGACCCCGGCCCCAGCAGGGGACGGAGGCGGGAGCTGGGGGTGGCTCTGACGCCCCGTCCCGGTCTGCCCTTCCCTGCTCAGGTGGCTGAGATCCTGCAGGGCTTGTTCCAGGAGCTGCCCTCTATCATCTTCAAGAACACCCTGCAGACCGTGATGCAGGCCGTGTCAGTGTTGGGGACTCAGCACACCCAGGAGACAGTCGAGGTGATACTGTCCCTGTGTCACCCCTCTGAGAGGTATGGCACCGGCACCCACGACCCAGAGGTGAACACCCATCCTTCCTCCGTGGTCTCCCCTCCCAGGCCACAGAATCCCTGGCCAGGCAGCGGCATGCACGACACTGGCCCTTCCAGTGAGAGAGACTCCACTCTCCTTCCCAGACTCCCGAACCAGGGCCAGGGGGTCCCCGGAGGTGTTCTAGGCTGAGGGGTTAAGGTGGAGGCTCCATTAGTCCCCGGAGGGGGCTTTCGGCATGGGAGTGTCCCTCAGACCAGGAGAACCCTGAGAGACCAGCTGGCAGAGGAGCCGGAGGTCAGCTGGCCCCCAAACAGCCCCCTCCAGCTGCCCAGGGCCCCAGCACACATACGGGCCCCCTGCCCTTCCGGGGCCAATATTGGGTTTCCAGGCTGCACCGTGTGGACGTCATGAGCTCCAGCACCGTGATGCTGGGCCTGGCCTGTGAGTAGAGACCCCGTTCTAAGCAGCCTGAGTGGTGTGTGTGTGTGTGTGTGTGTGTCCCCTGAAGTCTGAGGGCCACTGGAGCACCAGGGTGTCTCCACAGCGTCTCAGGGAGCACCGGCTTGTCACAGGCCCACAACACCTTGGACGGGGAACAGAGTTCTGGGGGATGCAGGTCTGTGAGCCCCACACGCCCCCCACCCTGCCCCAGGGAGACACGCCCAGTGCAGACCCACTTTGCCCGCTTTGCCTGAGGGGTGAGCCCCCACCCTCACAAGCTGGGGGGAGGACGGGGGCTCTGTTTGGGGTCACGTGGCAAAGGAGTGCGGCAAAGCGGGAATCAGCACCAACATCAGGGAAAGCCTGTCCTGTGCCCAGGGCTTCGAGCGGGGGCCCCATCCAGATACAGCCTCCTGGACCCCGCAGATGGAAGGGCTCACTGTCCCTGGGGGGCCGGGCCATCTCAGGCCATCCTGCTGTCCCGAGGGTCACGTCCCGCCTGCCCCTCCACCCTGCATGGCCAGCCACCTGCAGGCACTGGGCCCCCTGCCTCCCCAGACAGGTCGTACCCCTGTGGAAGGCCCTAGCCAGCAACACCCAGCTGGCCCGCAAGGTCCTCACCCTGCTCTACATGAAGCTGAGGCTGCGACCCCCCAAAGAGCTCGTCAGGTTCACCCAGCAGGCGGAGCTCATCTCCCTGCTGGTGAGCAGCACCCCCCCACGTCCCCACCCGGGCCCCCCGCCCCCACAACCGCGCTGTCATCCAGGGGCCCTGTGGGATGCCTGGCTGAGCCGGCAGGCAGAGGGTCTCGGCAAGAGTAGCCGAGGCCTCTTGACTGCTGAGTGGCCAGCAGAGCGGGGCCAGCGCCCCCGGGAGTGTCCCGGCCCGAGGCAGGCACAGGTGACAGGGCCCTGGGCCTGGGGGGGGGGGGCGCCCGTGCTTGTGGCTCCCCCCTCCTCTGCTCACTGGAGCCGGCCCTGGAGAGTTGCCCATCTGAGTCCCGCTCTGTCGCCCGCCGCAGGCCCTGGGTACCATTTATGAGCTCCTGTACATCCGGGAGTACAAGGCCACGGTGCGCTGGGCCTTCGCAGGGGTCCTCGTGGGCCTGCTCACGCAGCTCCGTTACCTGTTTGAGCTGGATGTGGTGGACGGCATCTCAGACTACCAGGAGGATGTCCTAGACGGGAAGCCCCTCAGCCCCTGCAGGTGACATCTGTGATGGGCCTTGGCGCCCAGCCCCCTGGGGAACCCCAACCGTGCCCTCTTTCGGGTTCCTTCCACATACCCACGGAACCCCTGGCAGGCACCAGGCCCTGGGCTCAGGGCTAGGGACCCGGAAAGGAATGCCCTCTGGCCCCACCTGGAGGCTTTCAGTCCCAAGTAGGGAGCAGGGGGCACAGCCACCAAAAGCCAGTGGGAGTGAGAATCCTGGGGCAGAGCAGGCTTAGAAGGTGACAGCTCACCGGGGCCCAGATGGGAGAGGAGGTCGCCGATGACCTTACGGTCCAGGCAGAGAGCCCAGCCCCGAGCCCCGACTCACCTCTCCCCACACCCCCACCTGCCCCTAGGACATGCCTGGAGGCCCTGAAGGGTCTCTTCTGGACCACCAACTACTGGGAGGTGTTTGCCTACCTCAAGCTGCTGAGAGGCTGGGAGCTCTTTGAGCACATGGAAACCTACACCGAGGGGGTGACCCTCTTGGCTAGGTGCGCACAGCCTGGGGGGCGGTGCTGGCCCCAGAGAGCATTCCTCATGGGAAGGCTACACCCCATATTGGGAGCTGGGCTCCAGACTCAGTTGCCTGGGCCATCTCCCCGAGTGAGCAGGGGGTTATGGGGGCCAAGGATGGAGACCTCAGGGCCCCCGTGCCTGCCTCTCTCATCTGACAGGGCCATGGCCCACTATGACTGTGAGGTCAAGGCCGTCTTGGGACAGGCGGTCATCTCCCTGAAGAGCTCTGAGGAGCGGGACAACATCGTGGCCATCCTCATCATCACGGAGGTCAGCCCCTCCTCGGCCCCGCCCTGCCCCTGCCCCTGCCCCTCACCAGCGTCCTCGGGCCCTTCGGAAGCTCAGAGAATTGGACTTGCGCTCCAACCCTCCCACGTAAAGGTATCCTAACTTCTGCCTTCCGTGTCAGACCTGCTTGCTCTCTGGAAGTGCTTCCTTACGTCTAACCCCACTATCTCATGCTGCGCCACAGGCCCATTTTCCCTGGTAGCTGACTGTGCCAACACTACTCAGTTTCTCAACAGCCACGAGCTCACCCAGTACATGTCTCGGAGAACCGTGGACAACTTCCTGAGCCTGGGCCTGAACAACCCCAACCAGCTGGTGCGGGCCATGAGCCTGAAGGGCCTCAGCAGTGCCCTGATGCATCCTGAGAAGGTGAGAGCAGGGGCTGCTCGCTCCTATCCCAGGAAGACTTCAGGGAGGAGGAGGCATGTGAGAAGAGCCTCCACAGCAGGTCAGATTGGAAGGGGTGGGTGGGGAAGGCAGGGCAGGCCAAGGCAGGGGGCGCGGGTGGGGAACGTTTGGGGAACGGTGCTGCGTTGCATGCAGCGGGGATCCTAGAATTTCAGGGCCGGAGGGGGCTCTGAGGTCTGCGACTCTGGCCTCCTTTCTAGTAGGGGTCTCTTACCCGACAGCACACCTGCTAGCTGGTCCTGTTCACGCACCACCCGTCACATAGAGGACTGGCACCTGGCTGGGTGTGGATGCACGTCCTCCTTCTGCCCTTTAGGCCTTCCAGAACAAGTCCATGCCGCACGGTGCAGGCCGGGGGGCTGGGGCTGAGGCCCCTGCGGATTGTTAAAGGAGGCAGCGCGGGCAGGGAGCGGCAGCCACGGCCCCGCCGAGTTGCGACACCCGTAGAATAGAAACGCTGGTGAAGTCGGGAAGGGCACTTTCCAGGGAGCGGGGCAGGCCCGGGAGTGGCTGCGTCCGCCCGCGGGTGATGCTGCTCCGGAACCGGCTGGCCGGGCTGCTGGACGGCTTCGTGGGGCCCGAGCCCAAGGACCTCATGGGCCTGATGGAAATCCTGGGTGACATCCTGCACCGCCTGGGGGCCCAGGGCGTCGGCGCCACCAGCCTCAGGATGGCCCAGCACCTGCTGCAGCTGTTCGACGATGTGAGGAGCGCGGCGGCGGCGCAGCACCTCGCCTGAGCCCGCCAATCCCAGCAGCCGCGGCTGCCACCCCAGCCAATCCCAGCAGCCGCGGCTGCCACCCCAGCCAATCCCAGCAGCCGCGGCTGCCACCCCAGCCAATCCGAGCAGCCTCCGGCTGCCACCCCAGCCAATCCCAGCAGCCGCGGCTGCCACCCCAGCCAATCCCAGCAGCCTCCGACTGCCACCCCAGCCAATCCCAGCAGCCGCGGCTGCCACCCCAGCCAATCCCAGAAGCCGCAGCCGCTTCCCCACCCCCCCTTCCTATCCCCGGGGCTTGTGGGTAAAGTCCTGTGGACCTGGGCGGGAGCCTGGCCCCAAGGAAGGTAGGTTCTGGGAGACCCCTGGGCCGCCTCAGAAATGACCTTGCCCAAGCCTCGTGCTCCCCCACGTGGAGGGCGCGGGCCGCGGCCAGAAGAGCAAGGGTGGCGGGGTGGGGGGGGGGGGGCGGCAAGGGGGCGCAGGCCCGTGGCGCAGGTGCAGGGGCTGGTTCGCAGCCTCGAGGCGTCCTCATCCCCCCCCTCCCGCCCCCAGCACAAAGCCCGAGGCCTCTTGCTGGGTCTGAGAGCTCAAAGTGACCGGTCTGGCCACAGGGTGCGCCTGGTCCGGGAGAGGGGGTGAGGTCGCTGTGGCCGAGAAAGGGTCGGCCGCAGCCACTGGAGGGGGTGGCAGGAGGAGAAGGCGCCCCAGCTGTCCAGAAGGCTGGGTTGTGCGTGCCAGCGGGCGGCCCCGGGCAGCAAGGTGGGTGCGGTGGAGGGGCGCGGTGGAGGGGCGCAGCGGACGGTCCCAGAGCTGGAGAGGGCGGGCGTCGGCGTCAGGGCGCATTGGCCACCGCAGGTCCCTGGGCCGGAAGAAGGGTGAGAGATGGGCGGTGGCTGGCAGAGTGGGGGGGGGGGGGGGGGGGGGCCCCCGGCGGGGGGGGGGGGCCGGGGCCGGCCGGCCCCCCCCCCCCCCCCCCCCCCCCGCCCTGCGGCTGAGGGCTCTACGTGCCGGCAGGAACAGGCCGACGTGCGCGGAGGGGCCATCCTCCTGTACGGGGACGTGCTCTACGGCGGCGGCAGGAAGTACCAGCAGGCACTCGAGAATCGCGCTTTCCAGGCCCTGGTGCCACTGCTTTTCCACCTGGCCGACTCCTGCCCCAAGGTGGTCATGGTGAGTGGCCCCCCCGCCTTGCAGGCGACAGGCGCAGGGAAGGAGAGGGCCCGTCCAAGGTGGCGCTGCCCTCACCTCTAGGTTCTCCCCCCAGTCTAGGAGCCGGCGAAGCAGCCCCCATCCGACACACACACACACACACACACACGCAGTCAGCCTCAGGAGCCTGGAGTTTGGGGCCCTTCTCGCTCCCCGCTCTCCCCAGGGCCTACTGCAGACCGTGCCCCCCTCAAGGGCATTGCCCCCAGGGAGGCACCGTGTCTGACTCCCACAGAGGACCCATAGGGCGGCCCTGGAGCTACCAGCCATTTCACAGGCCCCAAGTTTCCCAGATCATCCGTTTGAGCGGACCCTCTGGCCTCGGGGAGTGCCCCTTGCCCCCTCTACACTGGGAACACCTGCTTCTCGCCTGAGACCCCATCCAAGTGCCCCCCTCCCCCTGCTCAGGGAAGCTTTCCTGGCCTCCACCCCTCAGCAGCGTTCTGCTGGCCCTGGGTCCCCACTCCCTGGGTCTCAGCTCTCACTGTGGTCACCTAACAGCTTGGCTCTACCATGTAGGCCCTGCCTGCTGCCCTCTTGACCATGGCCACCTCCTTCCCTCCAGCCCCTCCTGGGGCTCTTGGGAAACTACCTGAATTCCTGCGTCCTCCTCACAAAGGGACTTCCTTCAGTCCCAGGGCTTCTCTCTGCCCCTGCCCCAGACCCACCAGACCCAGGAGCCCTCCGGACCCATCACGGGTGGTGTGACGGGCTGGGAACGCCTCAAGCCTGGGAGAGGGTCCGCATCAGGTCTGGGTCTACACAGCCAACCAGCAGCCCGGAGCCTGGCACAGGGCAGCTGCTGAGTGAATGTGCAGCTAAATGAAGGGGTGAACGGAAGGGTGGATGGGAGACCAGTAGAAGGCAGGGGTGTCGCCAGGTGGCGGGGCTAGAGGGGTGCAGCTGGGAGTTCAGAGGAGAGTGTCAAAGAAACCAGGAGAGGCTGCCTGGGGGAGGCCGGCCTACTCAGCCTCACAAGCTGTAGTCTTAGGATAAGTGGCCCAGAGGCCAGGGGCCTCTGAGTGAGGTGGGCGGTGCATTCTGTGAGCTAACGGGAACACAGGAAGTTGAGGGCAGGCCTGGGCCCGGGGTTGGGTCGGAGGGTCCTCTGTGATCAGGGCCTCGTCCTAGATGCTGAAAAACAGGTGCTCCCCCCCTCCGGAGCACAGTCTCCTGGGGACAGAGGCGTGGTGGACTCAGGAGGAGGTTGAGGGCTTTGGAGTGAAAACCAGGTGGGCCGATCCCCCCTCAACTCAGCAAGGGAGGGAGAGTTCAGCTCGGGGACCGGCCCGTCTCGGCTCAGGCCACCGCCACCAAGTGCCGCGGACAGGGCTGCTGGGTCGAGGGTGTGGCAGGCTGGTCCCCTCCGGCCTTTCTCCTGGGTACATGGACGGCGTCTTCTCCCCGTGTCCTCACGTGGTCGTCCCCCTGTCTGCGTGTCCAGATTCCCCTCCTGGTGAGGACACCAGACAGCTTGCCCTAGGGCCACCCAGGGACCTGATTACCTCACCTCTGTTGAGACCGTGTCTCTGGACAGTCACAGCCTGAGGTCCTGGGGGTGATTTCCACCCATTGTGGGGGTGGTACAGGGACCCTTTAAAGGAGTTCTGAGACTAGAGGCGGGGCTGTTGGGTACTGGTGAGTGAGGGACTGGCCTTCCTCCCCTGGGTGCCTGTCCCCCGGCCCTTGAGAGACTCCCTCAGGGTCAGGAAGGAAGCCTGGGTGGCCAGGGTGACCAGTGGCCTCTCGAATTTTCGCGTGAATTAGAGCACGGCACCCACGGGGCTTGGGGGGGTGAAGACACTATGGCGGGGGCACCCTGTGCCCCCTCTGGGGTGTGAGCAGGCTACACGGCCCCGGGCGCGGCTGTGAGCGGCGTCCTTGCCGGGCCGGGGCCCTCGGTGCCGCCGGGCCGGGGCCCTCGGTGCCTCCGGGCCACTTGTCCTGCAGTCTCTGCCCGGGAGGGTGTTGATGCAGAGGGAGGGGACCCGTCTGTCTTTGCGTGGCGCCCACAGAAGACAAAGCTGACCTTCCTGCGCTGTGCCATCCTGCTGAAATGGGAGTTCCGGAAGGAGCTGTTCGGGAAGCTGGCATGGGATCGTGGCCTCAGCGCCGAGAACGACGTTTTCATCTACACGGTAAGGTGTCGGCACCCTCCCAGATGAGGGGCAGGGAGGCCGGGGAGGTGGACGGGGGCCGTGCGCAGTGAGGGTCCTCACGCCCAGCACCCAGAGGAGGACGGGCGTGATATAGGAACCCTCTTGGGTGGCATCTGACTCGGTCCCGCGGGTGTTGGTTAGAGGCCCGCTCCGTGCTTGGCTGGCCCCTTCAGCCTCCCTCAGTGGGCCCCCTCTGTCAGTAACCGAGCTGGGGGCCTCCAGGGCCACGTGGGGACCACCGCCCTGGACGGGGAAGCCCTACCTGGAGGCAGTTCCCATGGCCGCTGCGGAGGGGCCTTTGGGGAGCGTAGCGCCCGCTGATGTCCCAGTGCAGACATGGGGAGGGCCCCGTAGCTCTGGGAACCCGGGAGTGGCCGCACCAGGACCCCATGGACATTCCTGGGCCCACACGCCTTGCTGAGGATTCGTGTGAGGGGACCCGTGTGCGTGGGGCGGGTGAGCAAGAAACTACAGCTCTGATTTCTGGTGGTGGGTTTATTTCTGAGTCCAGACCCTCAGAGCCCGGCTGGGACCCCTCCCCAGCGCTCGGGGACCGCGGTCCCCATCCCGGGCTTTTCTCCAGCAGGTGGCGGGCAGGCTGGCGCACCGGGCCACACTGGATGTGGTCGAGGTGGGCGGGGGCTTGGGGGGTCCCCGCCGCGTCTGGGAGACGGCAGACGTTTCCTGAGAAGTGGGGAAGGCTACGGTCTGGGGGTGAAGGTGCCCGGGAAAAGGGAGCGGGGCTTCTCAGGGTCCGGAGGGCAGTGACTTTGGTAGGCGCCACCTTGCTGGGGAGCCGGCGGGGCCTCCGTGCCGAGCGCTTCGCCCGCCGCGTGCCGGTGGAGTTTTTTTGTGCGGATGAGGAATTCTCCGCAGGCTCCAGGCGTGGGTCCTTGGCCAGTTGTTTGTAGTGTAATTGCTGTTGCCCAGTCTGTGACTTCTTGCACTGTGCTTACTGTGACTCTGCTGGCGCGGAAGTTCTGCGGCCGGACGTGTTACTCTCCCACGGTCTGTGCTCGGGTCTGATGGAGAAGCCCCTCCCCGCCCTGGAGCCGCGCTGGTGCCCGGAGGGGCGCGGGGTGGCTGTGACCTTCCACCAGCTGCAATGCCCAGCTCCCTGCCCGCGGGAAACTGCGTGCAGCGCTTCTGGGCATTAGGCCGTCCCCCGTGGTTGATGACGGTGACGCGTCACCCGAGGCACGGGCCGCGGGCGCCCGCGGGGCTGCCGCACTTGACCCTCGTGGCTGTGATCGGGGCTCAGCCTCTGTGTCCCTAGCATGCGTTCAGGAGACAGACGTCACAGCGATTTGAGCAGGGGGAGGTTAACCGCTGCAGGGCCCGGGGGCTGCGGGGGGCTGGTCGGTTTGCGGGGGAGCCAACTCTGAAGGCCGTGGGACCGCAGGGATGGCGCGTGGACGTGGACGGGAGTACGTGATGTCGCATGTCCCAACGTAGTGGAGGAGAGCCCCTGCCCCGGGCCAGGAGGACCCCCACCCCCAGAGCCGAGGGCATGGCTACGCTCCTGCGTGGCAGAGAAGCTGGTGTGGCACAGAGCCGAGATGCCGGGACAGGTCCCACACGGGGAGGGGTCACGGGAGACCGGCTGTGAAACGGCCCGGGGGGTGGGGGAGGAGTCCTGGGGGTGCCCGCGGGATCGAGGGCGGGAGCCCCTCCTGTGTCCCCACGCTGCCCCCGTGCCCTCGCGCCAGCTGGCGAGGATGACACTGGGGCCCAGGTCCGCTTTCACAGAGTGCACAGCAGGGGTGAATTTGGAGCTGGGAGGGGAGAGAACACTCCAGTGGGCGCCAGGGCCTCCGCCTCGGAGGTGTGGCCCGGGCTGGGTTTCTTGCCCTTGTCATTTTGGGTTGCGGGTCTTTCTCTGTGTACGTCTGTCAGAGACCTTTGTGCCGCCGCGGGGTGGATGTTACAGTGACATCCCGTCTCTGAGGTGTCGTGGGTGCCGGCGGCCCGAGTCCCGCCCCAGGGCTTCGTGCGGCTCCAGGCCGTGGCTGAGGCTTTTCAAGGAACTTGTCTTTTCTCTTGCTCCTAACTCAGGCCCGGGGTGGGGGAGGGAGAGAGAGACTCCCTTTTGGTGTCCCTGTGCCTTCCCTTGGGGTCCTTCCGGTCTGGTTCCCAAGGTGCGTGGGCGATGTCAGGTCCCCCCCTGCCTCTGGCGTCCTGGGCGTGAGGTTGGTCTTTCCTTCCACGGAGACACCTCGGGCGCCCGGATTCGATGCCCACCTCAGCCCGTGTGCAGGGACAGCGGGGCCGCCTGTCACGTGCTTGTGGTTCCGGTCTTGTCCTGCCCGCTTTTGCCCTTGGGGACTTGTGTTTAGCTGGTTGCTGAGGAGAGCGCGTGGAGAGGTCCGTGCTTGCCATCGGTGTCTCGGTACCTAGTTGACCGATCTGACCAATTTATTTTTGTTAACGTTGACTTAATTTTGGGAGAGAGAGAGTGCGATCAGGGGAGGGGCAGAGAGAGAGGGAGACAGAATCGGAAGCAGGCTCCAGGCTCCCGGCTGTCAGCACAGAGCCCGACGCGGGGCTCGAAGTCAAGAACGGTGGGATCATTACCTGAGCCGAAGTCAGACGTTTAAGCGACCGAGCCACCCGGGTTCCCCTGATTTTACCAATTTATTAAACGCTCCGTCTGTTAGAGCGTGAGAACGTCAACGTTATTGAGTTATACTCACAGGTTTAACCAAGTACGTTTCCCTCAAACGTTTATTTTTCTGTGGGTTTCAGACCCA